TCATGGAAAAGGCAGAGAGTAGAACCAAGAGCCATGGTGAATTATTCCTATGCTTTGAGTTCTCATCAAGGAACTGCCAAAATGTGCCTGATAGATTTCAGATTTGCTAGTGATTAGTGACTCCTTTGAACCTCCCGTATCACCATTTTATATTGAGTGCATGGGGGGCAAAAGAACTTGTCTCTTTAGTTCACAGTTCTTCAGATTGAGAGAAACTGTATACGAGTTGTCCATAAATTCATTTAAACAATGAGATCCTAGACTTTAAAAATGACTCTGTAAATATAAAATAAAATAAAAATTATGCTTAAATAGATGAGACTTTTGGGGCAGTCTCGGTAGGAATGAGCATATTTTGCATTTAGGAGGAATATAAATGATTTGTGGCCAGAGGATGGATGGTGGTAGTTTTAAACTATGTCTTTAAATTCTTTGATACTCCTCTCTTCAAAAGGTAGAATCTAATTTCACTCCCCTTAAATGTGGGCCAGATTTAGTGACTTGCTTCTAATGAATAAAATGTGGCAGAAAGAATGCTATGTGACTTCTGAGTCTAAGTCATAACAAGGTTAGCTTCTGCCTAGTGTGCATTTGCTCTCTCTCTCCCCTTCACCTCCTCTCTTCCTCTCCCTATCCCTGCCCCTCCCCTCTTCTCCCTCCCCTCCCCCCTCCCCTTCTCTCTTCCCCTCTCTTCCTATAACCCCTCCCCATTTCTCTCTCATCACTCATTCTTGGGGGAAGCCAGCTGCCATGTTGTGAGGACACTCAAGCAGCTCTGTGGAGAGGCCCACCTGGGTAGGAACTAAACCTAGTACTAGCATGCAAGTCATGGGTAAAAACCACATTGGAAACAAATCTTCAGCCCCAGTCAAGCCTTCAGATGACTGTAGCCTTGACTGACACCTTGCCTGCAACCTCTTGAGAGACCTTGAGCCAGTTAAGCTGTTCCTAAATTCCTTACACAGAGAGACCATTAGTGATAATAAATGTTTATTGTTTTAAGCCACTAAGTTTTGGGGTAATTACTTATGTAGTAATAGATTACCAAAGGATCTAGCCAAAATTATGATATAACCATAACTAGTGAATGACCTCTCAAAAATCTGTCTACCTATATAGAGTGTATTTTCTATGGTCATGTTACTATAGGGAGGCAATAAAGCTTTCCTTTTTTCATATTTTACAGTGATAGACTGATAAACATAACTAACAGTCTTTGCATCTGTCTTTAAAAATGAGTAGGCATTGTTTATTTATTTTTATTTTAAAAAAATTTTTATTGAATCAAAATTGATTATACATATTTTTTGGGTTCAACACTGAGATATGTTAATCAAATCAATATTACTAGCATATACATTGTTACAAATCCTAATTATTCTTTATGCCCCTTGTCCAATCTCTCCCCATCCCCCATCTAATTACCCTAGATTTCTTCTCTCCTTCTCAAAGAATAATGGTTACTATGTTGATTTGTTGCCTAGATGATCTGTCCAATGCTGAGAGGTGTGATCAGGTCCCCCAATATTATCATAGAGCAGATGCTTCTTTTGTCACTCTGATATGGGTTTTGTGGAGAGAGACATCCTCTTCTTTTCTTTATCTCTGCTGGTGACTCTTCTTTTGTCAGTGCACTCCAGTGGCTGGTGGGCCATCTGTGTGGTGGTTGTGGCATCTAGCCACTTTTGAGGCAGTCATGGTTATTGTGGTGGCTGTGGCCGGCCACCTACATGGAGGTGATGTTTATGGCATGCTCCTTGGCACTGGCAGTGTCCCTGGTTGTGGAGAGTGTCTGGTCCCTGGCTCTATACCTCGGGTCCCTGGGCAGGCCCTGAGGCACTGGCATGGTGTGCCTGTCTATGGGAGGGGGGTCCAGTCCCCAGTCCATACCTCAGGTCCATGGGTGGGCACCGAGGTGCTGGTGCAGTGTGCCTGGTTGTGGGAGGGGGTTCCAGTCCCCTTCTCCATGCCTCAGGTCCCCAAGTGGGCCCCAAGGTGCTGGCACAGTGTGCCTGGTTGTGGGAGTGGGGGGTCTGATCCCTGGATCCATGCCCCAGACAGGGCCCTGAAGCGCTGGCAGTGTGTCTAGTTGTGGGAGGGGAGTCCAGTCCCCTTCTCCATGCCTTGGGTCCCCAGGCAGGCCCCAAGGCAATGGCATGGTGTGCCTGGTTGTGGGAGGGGGGTCTGGTCCCCTTCTCCATGCCTTGGGTCCCCAGGCAGGCCCCAAGGCAATGGCATGGTGTGCCTGGTTGTGGGAGGGGGGTCTGGTCCCCTTCTCCATGCCTTGGGTCCCTGGGCAGGCCCTGAGGTGCTGGTGCAGTGTGTGAGTAGGCATTGTTCAAAAGCAAAGAATTTTAAAGGTGGAAGGGGGCCAAGAGATTATGTAATTCAAATCCTTCTTGACCAAACAGCACAGTGTTTTAGAAATAGTAAGTGCTCAATAATGGTTTTGGCTTTTACATATGATATCTATCTCTGCTTAAAATATTGTTTAAAATTTTGGTTTATCGAAGTAATGTTTATATGTAGTTAAACAGTCAACTATCACTAAAATATCTTTATTACCAAAAGCAGTCCTATGCCTTCTTTCCCAATTATTGTCACCCAAGGCAGCCACTTTTACCTTTTTAACTTGCATCTTCTGATAATTACTTTTATATTTGCAGATGATAACCTTATTCTATTGTTATTTGATTTATTAGCTTCAGGGAGTATTTGCTGATTTCCCATTATGGTCATTGAGAATTTCTTTACCTCTACTTCTCCATTTTCCCAATAGAATTGCAATTTTCAGTTAAACCAGTACTTAGCATTTATACTATTATGACTATAAATATTATTCACTCATGTTTCAAGTAATATACAATGATTATCTGCCATCATGCAGATTTTTGTTTTCTTGGAGTTATTTCCTTTTCTTTCATTGCTTAATTTTGTCTGTATGTATGGCTTATTTGTTCCTGATGCATCAACAGTTCTGTTAAATGTCTGGCAATAATTGTTTCCAACTATCAAATACACCAAATCATCCTCCAGTTCCATTTTTTTCTTTCCTAGAGACCTTCCTCCACATCATTCTGTTTTTCTGCTCGAATCTGCACAGTTTGCTCTCTAAACCATATGTCCTGTTAGGACTTTCCTCAGCCATTCTGATTTGGGAATTGTTTTTGAAAAAGAATTTGCTAATGTGAACTTAACTAGAATGAGGAAGCATTAATATTTTAAAGAAAATCCTAAATTATTAATATATACTGCTTCTTGTCCTGGATTTACCAGCCTGTGAGGTCACATAAAATGAGGTCACATTTGCTTTTGATGCCCAAATTATAATAGCTCAGGCCTTCACAGTTTGAATGCAAGATCTCAGCACCACTAACTTTGGAAAATGCCCTCTGAGTTTTCCTAAGGGCCCTTAATAGGGGTGCACTCGCATGTGCTCACTAACCAGTCTATCCACTGGTTACCATGAGGTGTTTGCTATGCTTCTTCCTCTTCTGCTCTGGCCCCCTGGCCAATGTGTATTGCACTGGGTGCCGTTTGAAGGTGCTGATAGTATCCCTCACTGCTGATGGTAGCCCTCAGAAGATGGGTTTGTATTTGCCAAGGGCGTTTTCTCCTGGCATTTCCATTTCCAAGAATACTAGGGGATACTAGCCTTGATGGAACATGAGAACGACCCTTTCTGCAATTCCATTTCACTTTCTTTCTTTCCCTCATCCATTACCATTGCTCAAAATCCAGAGCTCACAAAGTCCTTCAGCTTTTCCTCTTTGTAATCTTCTACTTACGTACCTCTCCATCATCCTCCATCTAAACCCAAAACAATCAACAGTCACAACTAATTGCTAAACACCCATCTCTGCAGGGACAACACAAAAGCTGGATGGCTCAGAGACACAGCTCAACCACATAATTTATTACCAAACTAGAATATTATTTTCTCAAACCTGAGAAACAGTGTTAAAGTGAGATTAAGTATCCATTCTGGAGATAGAACACTACATGCAACTTCCAGATGAGAAACCTCTCTTTCTGTTAAACAAGATTTTAAAAACTTTCAGGTCTAATCTCCCATCCAAGTACTAACCAGGCCCAACCCTGCTTAGCTTCCGAGATCAGATGAGATTAGGCACGTACAGGAGGTATCAACTCTAATCTTGACTGAAGTACAATTTTGCAAATCTTTGAATATGTCTGTATAATTTTAGAAAACCCCAGAGATATTTTCCTTGGGAAAATTGGGAAATCTTATATAGATATCTGTAAGTAATAAAACAGAATTGAAATACTAAATATTTCAGACTTTTCACTAATTCACACTGGCCTTTGCCCTAAAAATTGCCTAACTTGCTGAATTAGATTTTTTAAGGAATAATTAAAGGTTAACGTACTATCAACAGGGAGATCTGCTAGCAGACCACGACAGAGAAAAGACTTCTTCTTGTGGGGCTTAAAGTACCACTGTGCTGGTCTTTTGATCAAATGAAAAAATCATTTTCAAAATGAAGGCTAAATTACTCCAGGAAGAAATTTCAGGACATGGTATATAAGGCCCTTCATCATCTTCCCCTGGCTCCCTGTCCAGTGCTATTTCTCAGTCCTGCATTTTTCCCCTCGTTAAAGTTCCAGTTTTCTCCATTTAGTAGATGAGGACAGTTGTGTTAGAAATTTTCCCAATTAGTAAGAGATAGAGCCAGGATTTTAACCCAAGTCAATTGGACTTCAAAACTGGTGGGTCTTTCCTGCTTACCACATTGCCAAATGTCATTTTGGATGGTTATAGAAATGTCCCTAAGGAAGAGGAGATGATCTGGGGGGAAATTCCCAGCCATGTGGATTATCTGGGATTTCTCTGGCATGTATAATGGTTCCCTGGTGGTATACACTTTATGTTGAGGGAGGCCCTGGAGAGAATCCGCCCTGTGCAAACAAGCCTAGTCCCAAATCTGACTGTCCCTCTCCTTTCTTCTAATTCCTTTTCTTCCATTCTTTTTTCTGAGGGAAGCCAAGTAAGTGGTTGCTGATTCAGCATTCTACTCCCCATAAGCCATCCAATGGCAGATCCAGCTTACCTTTCCTATGACATCTGTTAACAGCTTGAGGGACAGAGGATCATGAACCAAAGAGTCCGTGTAAAAGGAACCAAGGTATTTCTTTGGATTAGTTGGATTGTCCTGGGCACAAAGATCTGGGCGCATGCTGAATCCATGGGAAATTCTTCCCACTGTGAAAGGGAAGGTACCACCTGCAAGTAAAATCCATTAGTGAGGGGCTGATATTGATGGGAAAGGATTCCTTTCAGTCCTGATGTTGTATGAATGGAGGAGAAAATGTAGCCCAACTGATTGACAGCAATTACAAAGAAGCTACTGGGTTCCAAATGTTGGGAGTTGACCCAGAAGGAATGACATTAACTCATCTAGAAATTCAGACTTGAGAATTTTATCCTAAAGAGAGAAAACAAGCATATAAAGATACGTGGTCAAGGTTTTCAAATGTAGCGTGGTTATAATAGCAAAATACCAAGACAACCTTTCAGTTGGGGAATGTCTGAATTATAATGGCACGTCCATAAATGTAATGTCATGCATGAAGCCATCAAAAACAATGGAGCTCTGCATTTATTGACATGGAATTTATTTCTTTCCAAGTTGTTGAGAAGAAAAAGGAGAACACCTATACGAGTACAGTTTGATATTTTGTGTGTGTGTGAATGTGTGTGTCCAAGAGTAACAAACTCAATTACCCACAGGGACCAGGTAGGCAATGTAAATAAAAGAAATAGGCCTATTTGTAAACAATGGAGGATGGTAGGACTATTGCAGATTGGAGAGCTCATGGTCTGACTGGAGGGGTTTGAATAAAATATAAAACCAAATAAAACAAAAACTGTGCTAACCAAACTAAACTTGCCTATAAAAATGAAGCTTGGTCCCCAAGCCATCATATGACTAGAATGATGGCTGGAAGCCTGTTATGGACTGAATCGTATCCCTCCAAAATTCATGTTGAAGCCCTAACCCCCAATGGGACTGTATTTGGAAAAAGGACCTTTAAGAAGGTAATTAGGGTTACATGAGGCCATAACGTAGGGCCCTAATCCAACAGGGCTGATGTGCTTATAAGAGGAAGAAGAGACACCAAATCTCACTTTCTTCCCCACCCTCCCTCCTGTAGAGGAAGGGCTGTGTGAGAAGACAGCCAGAAGGCAGCCATTCTACAAGCTGGGATGAGAGACCTCATTAGAAACCAACCATTCCAAGACCTTGATCTTGGACTTCTACCCTCCAGAACTGTGAGAAAACAAATTTCTGTTGTTTAATCCACCCAGTCTGTCGCATTTTGTTATGGCATCCTGAGCTGACTAATACTGATAGGTTCTCACCTCCATGTGCGAAACACACTTTCAGTTTAGGAAACTTCTCAAACACTCCACCCATGATCATGGAACAAATGGCCATGGTGGTCTCTGTTGGCATTCCTAAAAGAGAAAATAGTTAACAAGGTTCAGAAGCTCAGCGATGTTAATGGCTGGGGAACAACAGCATATGGCTGGAGAACTGTCAGTGCTAAGAGACATAAGGCCCCTGTGTCCCAGCATGGTTTGGCTATATACAGGCCATTACTATGACAAGGAGAACCATCTCTAGATTCCTATTTGCCACTTGCAGGGAGAGTCTTCTAATGGCTAGGAAGAGTTGAGGAGCCAGAGGACCTGGCTTTTATCCTGATTCCCTCAACTTCAGCTTCGGAGGCAATGGGGCAAGAAGAATGCAGGGAATCTGAGCCGAACCTTAGATCCTCCAATGTTCTGTCTCCTGGCCTTTGACAAGTTATTTAGTGCCCCTGTGTTGCCCATCTTGCAAGGCTGTTGTGGAGCCTTGCAAATGATGATGTCAGCAGATGGCCAGAACTTCATACTGGAGGTGCTCAACAAGTATTAGTTGCCTCTCAGTGTCTCAATTTCTTCATCTGTCAGATGGTAATAGTACTGGTTAGGTCCTTCCAGTGGGTCGTTTTGAGGATTGAGTGGACAGTTTCTGGCACTTGTAAGTGCTCACTAATTATTAACTATTATTATTATTCCTGCCAATTCTTTGCTGAGGTTGAAAATAACTGGATTAAAATAAATTATTTCAAGTACTTTGTGCTCCCAGAAGAAGCAGCTGGTCCATGTCTGATGCCTTCACCCCCAAGGAGCCAGTCCATGCTACATTGCCAGACGGCTGACTGCTTTCTAGACCATGACTCAGAAATCTCCGACTGCCCTGCACCTTCTGGGGAAGCCTAACTCTCCAACCTGCCAAGTGGGGTTTCACCAGATGCTCATTATGGCAGAGTTACTCCTGGATCCCGGGCCTCCTGGGAGTTCTGGAAGTATGATGGATTAATATTCATCGGGGAGTGGTTTGTGGGCACAGCTTCCTGAAGATGGGGATAGACAGCACCACTTGTTTCTGGTGCTGTGATTCTACTTTTCATTAATTATTTGAACCATAACCCCACAGTCCATTCTCCATACGGGAGCCAAAGTTACATTTACAACATGAATCGGATTATGACCCTTCCCGCTGGGAATCTTCCAATCCACTAATGACCACCTTTGCGCCCAGAATAAAATCCAGAAATTAGACTGTTTGTTTGAGATCTGTGTACTTGTTTATCATCTCTTTCCTCTAGCTAGAACATAAGCTCCATGAAGGCAGATTTTGTTCATGTCTATAACCTCAGTGCCTAGTACAGGGCCTGGCATACTGGAGGAGATCAATATATATGTGTTGCACAAATGAATGATGAAATGACTCTACATGCAAATGCTCTCTTCTCTTTTTCATGTGGGAAGTTGCAATATAAAGAAGTTTATGGGACTTGTCAAAATTTTGTGAAATCAGAATGAGATTTTCTTTGAAGCTGGACTGTACTGGGCCTGTTAGGTTATCTATTCCTACCAATTTTTGCTCAAGAATTTGGTGGGGGATGGGTGGGAAGCTGCCTTACTAAATACTTTGGTCTCCAACAGCAAACACAGGAGCATATAAAATGTCAGAGCAGAAAGAGACATCCAAAGGAATCTAGACCAGCTCTCTCATTTGACAGATGAGGAATGAGGGGCCCAAGAAGGTAAAGTGATTGCTACAAGCTACACAGTGAAATAGAGACTAAGCTGGTACTGAAATTTAGTTTTTGACATCTACTATGTTGGCTTCATTTAATTCTTCATGGTGGTTGCCATTTTGATTACTCCATAATTACTAATTTTACTAACTGGGCTGGGGAGGGGATGGATAATGGTCACCCCCCCAAAAAAGTCCAGCACTTCTCCTTTGGGGACCCAATTTCCTTTGGGTTTGTAGATGAGCTGCAATTTTCACTTGTAGCTCCAGAATTCACACCTGTTCTTCATCTCTTCTTATCTGGACTGATCATGAGAGATTGGACAGGCCAAATGTAGGTTTCTCCTCTCTCCAGTTCCCTTACCTTCATGTGGAACAATGAATGAATAAATAGTGCAGGAGGCAAAGGGCAGAAGAGAGGGGCACATAACAGGAAAATTGAAAGCCTGGTTCATCTAGAATCTAAGGCTTCATATCCTTGGGTGGTAGAAGTTGACCTTGTACTTGTAATTCCACGGTCCTCATTTGTAAGAGCTGATGCTATTATCAGCCTCTAAAAAATCTGCTAGGCAGGCATGGTTGCTTTTTTTTTGGAGCCTCTTTGGGAATCTGTGTAGCAAGGTGGCTTTGGAGTCAGACAGATCCGTGTAAACTCCATTTTCACTTATTAACTGTATGATTTGGACACCTTATCTAACCACTCCACGACTCAGTTTCTCCATCTGTAAAATGGTCATTACGATGTCAACCACTTAGGTTAAATATGTGATTTATTTACGGTATGATTTATTTGCAATCGTATTGGACATGATTAAAATTAAATGAGTAATGTATACATCACTTATCTAATTATCAATAAGTGATAGTTGCTGTTACTCACAATCTTTTTAATTATTTATACTTTCTCTCTTTGATATAATAGGGTTCCACAGATGTTTGGAAAAATTCAAGAGTTAGTCCTCTGTTCTGGACCCCAAGCTGACACAAACCTACGAGCCAAGGGAGCCAGTATTTGGCCATCCGTCCATCCATCTGCATGTCCCAGGGATGCACAAACAGGCAACAGTTCAGCCTTTCAGCTGCCTTCAAAGAAGCAATGAAAGAGAGAGAGATTTGGATGAGCCAGCAAATACAAGGCACTGTTTTAGGGAAAATGCTTTACTCTGAGTCTATATTGATCTGAATAAATAAACTAAATTACTTCTGAAGTTGTTTCTTGATCTATATAAAAGAGTCATTGACAGATTCTGCTCCTGCTTGGAAAATAAAGAGGACACTTAGAATTAGCAAAGGGGGTTGGTAGATTTACTATTAAGGTTGATAAATTTAATATATTGTTTGGCAAAACAAGTCACAGGAAACATCCATCATTCAGCCATTTTGGCTGAGAGCAAAATGATCAAGAACTCATCCTACACTTCAAATGTAAAGGAAATTTTTCCTGCTGGCTTCTACTTGGCCCACTCTTTTGGAAGGACTGCTGAGATTGTATTCTTGGAGTCAGGGCACTGTGCTCTCCCCTTTCCCTCATTTGGAAACCTGTGGCTGTGGAAAGTACGGAGGTGATACACTGGGAGCTGGGGCTCAGGGCTGGGCTGGGCAGGGTGGCCTGACCCAAGCCAAATGGCCACTCAGAGCCCAACATTGGGGGTGTGGGGAGGAATTGCTGGAATCTACAGGCACTCACAGCCTCGGGAGCCCAGCTGAGCCCCTAATAGTCTGCTGTAAATGAGATGACCTCAGAGAGGAAAGAGCTCTCAGTGCCTCAACGAGGCAGGTACTGAGGTGAATGTTGTGGTCAAACCTGCTCCAGGGCTTTCTGGGAAATGGAAATACCATCTGGATGGAATGGCCTTTGTTCAACAAAATGTTTAATGAAAATAAGTTCCTTCAACAGGCATTGAATATTAGTGCTTATCAAGATTCAAAACAGATTTTCCTTAGGACATTTACTTTCCAAATATATTGGGGTGCTGGAGTGACTCATCCTACCTTTATACGTAAATATTTGTGCTAACCAGGCTGATGCAATGTGACTTGTGCGCATAAGCATTTTTCAAATGGAAAAACAATTCTGAGACAACAGAGGACTCTGGAAGTGGCAGGTAAACTGAAGAAAGGATTTCTAATTCAACAAGTTCTGGGGAGCTGGAGAGAGATAAGCCTTTTGAAGGGAGAGGAGCTAATTGGTTTCTGATAATGGACACAGACTGGAAAGAGAATATCAGCTTCTCAGGATGGTCTGGGCTTGGCAAAGGCACATGATCATGGTATCTCAGTGGGATTTGACTCCTCATTAGGATAAAACTTTATTCTATGTGCCTATGTTGGTTCATTTCTATTCAATTCAAATTAACATTTTTAAAATCTTTTATATCCAAGGCATGTAGAGGACATAAAAAGAAGTCACCTGTATTCTCAAAATCATAACTAACAGTAACTGAGAATTTACCATGTGCCAAAGCTGTTATAAGAATTTTATAATTATTAACTAGTTTAATCCTTTATGAGATGAGCACTCTTATTACCCTCATTTTACCAAGAGGGAAACTAAGGCAGATAGAGGCTAAGTAACTTACTCAGGTCTTGTGGCTGATAAATAGTAGAGTCAGACAGTCTGGCACTACTACTTTATCTGCCTCATGCTGGTAACAAAGTCATTTTTGTTTGAAAAACTGTGTTTTTCTGAAAAACATGTTTGTCTGAAAAACTGACCTGAGCATGTATAATTGGGTTCAGTCACTAAGAAGGGAGTTCTAGGAGATACCGGGGACAGTCAGACATTCTGGAGCACAGGCTTACCTAGAAATGACAAAGGCAACTTGCCTCAAGGTAATTCCTCTCATTTGTTTCAGCACGTTACTGACACAAGATAGAGAGAGAAGAGAGGCAGGCAAGCTTTGCTAACGAAATAAATGTGCTGTCAACCCCAGGACATCATGAGTCAACTGGGGCCGGATGTGTGCTCCTGAATCCCCTCAGAGACTGGCAGCCCCACAAACAGCCTAGTTAGAATGATTGATGGGTCGACTAGTCACACAAATGAAAATATTCATGTGGACCCCAGCTGGCTGCTGTTGCTTTCTGAGCCCCTTGGTAATTCATAAACCCAATACCAATGAATAACAAAATGACTTGCCACTGAAGTCTCACTCCCACTGCACTGAAACAACTTGGATGTACAAGTAAATAAATCCTATTTCAAAGCTCATTAAAGTTTCTAGAAAACATTCATTGCATCAGCTAAGCCACTGCAGCCAATAAGCTTCAGGGAGTTCAATATTTATAGAAACATTAAATCTTTCAAGTCATTAGGAGGCAGTTTAACAGGCAATCCCCCAATTGGTGGACAGTCGCCATAGATACAAACATGGAACAATTTTTGCATGTAGAGTTCAATAAATATTATATAAATAAATGATCAGTGATTGCAGTGCCTGGTGAGTCCACAAACATCTACTTAATTCATTATTAAAGATTTTGCATTTACAATGAAAATAATAGAAAACAATACTACTATAATCATAGGAAGGGAGGAAGAAATTAAAAAATGCAATTGAGTAATGAATTATGTGTCTTGAATCCTGGTACTGAGGAGTGCAGATTTAGTTCCAGAAAGAACAGAAAGTAGAGGAAGAGGAAGACAGGTAGAGAGGACTATGGGAGTATGGACACTTGACATTGGATACTTCAGAAATGGATGGCACTGAATTTCTGAAAACATTTTATTATGAAAGATTTTAAATATAGAAAGTATAAATAATAATACAATGAACGTCTATGTACTAACCATCTAGTTTCATCAAATGTTAACATTTTCATGGCAGTATTTTTCATTATGTATTTTTATAATGCATCTTCAAAATATATGGCTTTAAAAATATCTTAATTGAGGTTTGGTTAAATTAACCAAAACATATGCCTATATTGGAATATTCTGCAGTTATGTAAAAATCACACATTAAGAGAATTTTCATTTAGGTTGGAAATTCTCAATTAGGATATGAAATCACATATGTAATAGAATTCTAATTTCATTAACATATATGCAAGTAAAAAAGCCATATGAAATGTGCTATAATGGTGGTTGCTTAGGGCTGGCCTAGGAAGCATTTCCAGCCTTCCCTCCTCTGTAGAATGGCCCACTCCCTTTTAGGGGGCTGTTTGCAACTCTGCTACCCTCTGATACCCATAGGCATCTCTCCCTGACTCCCAATGGGGTGGTGGCTTCATCTTCTCCCCACCAGCCCCCGGCATGGTGCCTGCCCTGCTAGGCCTTCTGTGTCTGCTGCACCTTGACTGAGCAAGCACCGTGTACTCACTGCGAAGACGGGGATGAGTTCCTGGGAGTTCAGGTCCCACTCGTTGATGTGGGAGCCAATCTGGACCCCTGGAAAGCCCAGCTCCTTCACACAGCGCTCCATCTCCTTGATGGCCAGCTCGGGGGCCTGCATGGGCAATGTCCCCAGACCCACAAACCTTCTGGGGTGTCTTGCAACGGTGGTGGCTAGGTCGTCATTTAAAAGTTGGCACAGGTCTAAAGTGTCCTGAGGTTTGGCCTGGTGGAGAAAGGGAGGGAAAACCACGTCATTCAAAACCTACTTCTTTAGACATTTACTCTGAACAGCACATTCTCACTGGCTTTACCTCTCAGAAAACTGAGGTACAGATTGAGAAAGGCACTGGCCACAGAAGACCCGGAAGCCAATCTTTGTAAAAGCAAAGAAAGCTATTATATTCCTGATTACTTGGAAAAATCGAGGCTAGAATCAGAAGGGATGGACACAATTACTGGGCTTGGTATCCTGACACTAAAGATGGAATGACAGTGGGCCACTGCCCAGTGCAGACAGATTTCGGCCCCCACCCCCCACACCTTCTTGAGGGATGCCAGGCTGGCTCACGGGCCTCTCTGATCCCTGCCTGTCCTCCTTTCTGTTAGCTGTGACACTCAGGACTGGCCTCAGCAAAATGCTGAGGCAGACGAGGTTTGCTTTCAGTTGCCCTAACTTTCCCTTCTTTACATTTTCTTTCCTTTCAACATCACCCTGCTGCCAGGAATTTGGCACTCTCTTGCAATTCCAGTTGTCCAGTTACAGTGGTACCCAATCTGATAAATTTAGGTATATTGAGGTCTTAGGGCACTTTATTTTAAGTAGTGAATCTAATCACAGGAAAAGATAAGGACTAAATCACTTAATACTGGATTTATGAGGTGGGGGAAGTATATGTGGGCAGGTGGTATTTATATCGCTCTTAAGTCACAATGTGAGTGAATATCTGCTTGGTTGAGCAAGTACTTAGTGTGCTCCAAGCTATGTACAAAAATTTCCACAGATGGGAAATCATGTCTGAAACTTTTAGGGCTGGAGATTTATTCAGTTGGGGAAAGGCATTTAACTCCAGGACCCCTCTTTTGAATTGTATATTTCCCTGGGAGAGGTAACATATTAGACCATGATTATCATTCCCACCTCAAAATCATTCTCATCTCAGAATAAATTGGCTTGTCAGTTCCCCAGCAAGGCATTGCAGGAATGAGTCATGAGATGGGTAAGTTCTAGTGGCGATCAAGGCTGGGTCTAGAACTGCACTGCACTTTAAAGAGAGTCACATAGCAACATGTGACAACTGCCTACTGTATGGGACCAATGACATGGCTAAGAAGACAGGACTGGGAGGGGACACTGCCATTTGCGAGGCTGAGGGACCCTGCTGATTTCTAAAGGGGAGGACAGTTGTGTGTGTGTGTGTTTGAGGGGCTTGGTGGGACCAATGGCTAGACTTGAGGCATCTGTCTACTTGCTGGGGAGCTGGACACAGCCTTCACCACCAAGAAGATGGTTTGAGGTTTCACACTCACCCAGTAGCTAAACATGATGGGAACCGTGGAAAGCGCTTGCACCGTTACTCCTAGACACAGACACACAGAAAGGCAAAGCTGGTGAGAAGAATAGCCCCAGCCCTGGTGTGCCTTCCCCAGGGCCAAGAGGCCAGAGAGTCTCCACCACAGACTCCTCCCACTCTCCCTCCCTTGCTGCTCCTCCCTGTGCTCCTTCTCTCAGGCCCTCTCTTAGGCCACCCTCATCCCTTAGCCTCAAGATCAAGGGAGAGAGGAAAAAGCTGGGCAAAAATGAGATCACTCAAGGGAAACTGATCCCATTTTCCAAGGGTTATCTCTACTCTCCTTCCTGTGAAATTTTATTTAAACAAGACATTTCTCCACCAATTTTTTCAGGGCTTTCCATCTTAGGGCATGCATGACAGAATATATCTCTCCCTGCCTCTTTAATTCAGCTCCTCAGTGAGGCTGGATGGAGTCCCACATTCTGGAATCCCCCAATGGGACCCTGAGTTTGGCTCCAGAATCCAGGATGCCAAGAATCTCTTGTCTCCAAGAGAGCCTGCCTCCTAGGATTGTCGTAAGGATTAAGTGAGTTAATTCATGTTAGGTACTTAGAACAGTGCCTGGCCTGAAGTAAGTGCTCAGGAAGAATTAATCATGACTATTCTCCCAAGGACAGCAATGGAATGAAACACATAACAGAAAACAAGAGACACACGTACTTCATCTTTACTGGAGCCTTAAGCAATGATTTCTGACACCAGCCCAGTCTCATTCCCTCTAGTTGTCTCCTTGAAAGGGTGCATCCTTGCTCTACCTCCACATTTACAGCAAAACCTTACTCTTTGCAGTACATTTGGGAAGCATTTTCTTTCTTTAGCTTCCCTCCCACTCCAATATCTGAAAAATCTTCAAAAAGTTCATAGAAAGACTGGTATTATCTTTTAATTCTATTTTTTTTTTTCTGACCGGTAAGGGGATTGCAACCCTTGGCATGGTGTCATCTGCACCACGCTCAGCCAGTGAGCGCATCAGCCATTCCTATATAGGATCCGAACCCGCAGCCTCAGCGCTACCAGCACCGCACTCTCCCTAGTGAGCCACGGGGCTGGCCCTTAATTCTATTTTTTCGTAAACTTTTGAAGTTCGCTAATACTTTTAGAACAGGGGTACATACATTATGTTCTGTGGAATGGTCTAGAGACATGCTTCAGGGTCTCTGCAAAATTCAATTTGAATGCCACTTAAATATATTTTTGAATTGACAAAAATAAGTAAAACAATATCTGGGCAAAGGTATCCTGCAACAAATTCTAACATGCCAGAGCCCACCAATTCATTCTGGGCTGACAGGTTGACTCCTATTTTGCAGACCTTGGAATGAAATGTCTCCTGCCATCTCTGTGTATATATTTGAACTTTTTATAAATATGTCTTTGATTAGGAAGGTGGTAACTGGATATTTTTGTTTTCTGTTTAAATCTAGATCACTGATATCAAAATTTAGGCCTCACAATGTCAGTGGTGGTGAATTCCCCATCATAGCCCATGGGCATGACCCATATGTGCCCAGTAGGCTTGGTGCATTTTCTTGGGTCATGCTCTCCTCAGGTAGCACAGTCAGCCAGGCAGTAACAAGTGAAAGCATAATGTGGCCATCATGTCATATTTTACACAGTCTTTGCAGTTCTTTCGAACTGTGGGGACGTGTTTGATTTTTAAATATAGGGAATGCAAACAGTTCTTAGAAATTGTTAGCAATTTAGCTTTGAATCAAACATTTCCTAACTCTCTTATTTCAAATTTCTGGATCAGTTTCATTGTAGAATATTCTGAGATTACATGATTAACTTTTTTGTTTTACCTGCTTCCATTTCCACCCTTTATGTGTCAATGGGGATGCTCTGTGTGTAGTGTGAGACAAACTATAGAAAGAAATTGGATTCTAAGTCTGACTAAGGAGGCAATTGGCATCCTTAATCTGTGATTTTCAACTTTTACTGTTTAATTGATTGTATAATAAGAATACTATAAATTAGAATTTTAAAATGTTTTAAATAATGAAATGACACTTTTATCTTTTTGATGATATAGCATTTGATTTTAAAACATGGTATAACTGATTAAAAAAATTTTAAATTCACACTCTAAAAGCATTGTAGTAGAAGGCCCCATCCCTTCCCCTATGAAGCTGGAACAGCCTGGCCTGGCAGAGAAAAGGGGGTCAGAGGTTGCCCTCATGTCACTCATGTGAAGTGGTTAACAAACTGTAAGTGCAGACATTGCTTTACATCAGATGCAAACATTGGTAGCATCTCTCATTATTAAATACCTGTTTGGTCCATTTCTCTAATACGAGTTTCTGGATCCCAGCAGTTCTCTTGGATTACTCTGAAGACCTTTCCATCTCTCAGCATCTTTGCTTCTCCCTGGGCAGAAAATTTATATCATGAATAGGCAACCTAAGTTCACTTGGGTTAAACGTTCCTTGTATGCTTTGGAACATGTTTCTCCCTTAACATTTTTAGGGATTTTTACTTAATCCTTGCAGAAGTAGTAGAAATCTGTTCACTTAACAGAATTTGTCTTTTCTTCCTCATGCCTTTCTTTGGCCTAGGGTTGAAGAAGTGTGCTCTGTGGGTGTTAGGGTCTGGACACAGAGATAACAGGGTCTCGGTCGTGCCTATCTAGGCTGCATAACTGAGGAAGGCTGATCACCTTGCCCATCTAAACCACTGGCTACGAGACCCAAGAGGATGGCCCAGCATCTGGAAAATGACAGATCTATAACATTTTAGATTTGGAAAGACATTTGAGATAGACCAACTCTTTTGTTTTATAGAGAAGCAACCCATGGATAGTGAGAGTAAGTGATCTGTCCAACAGAGCAGGCCCACTGATGTCAACACCTCCAGGGGGAGATAGGTAATGATGTGAATCAGTCCAGCAGCACATACAGGCATAATGCCTGCCTGTTACACTACCTTTTAAGAAATTTTAAAAATGTATTTTTTAAAATTGACGAATAAAAATTATATATATTTATGGGGTATGACATGATGTTTTGATGTATGTATTCATTGTTGAATGGCTAAATCAAACTAATTAACATATCCATCACCTCACATACTTATTTTTTTGTGGTGAGGACACTGAAAATCTGCTGTCTTAGTAATTAACATAATTCTTCCAGGTTCATTCATGTTGTTGCACATGACAGAATTTCCTTTAAGGCTGAATAGTATTACATTGTGTATATATACCATGTTTTCTTTATCCATTCATCCATTGACAAGCACTTAGATTGATTTCATATCTTGGCTATTGTGAACAATGCTGCAATGAATATGGGAGTGCAGATATCTCTTTGACTTATTGATTTCATTTCCTTTGGATATATGCCTAGAAGTGTAATTACTGGATCATATGGTACTTATATTTTTAATTTTTTCAAGAAACCATGTGATCATATCAATAGACAAAGAAAAAGCATTTGAAAAATTTTAACATTTTTTCATGATAAAAACTCTCAATAAATTAGGTACAGAAAGAATGTACCTTAACACAATAACATTGATGTGTGACAGTCTCGCAGCTAACATCATACTCAAAGGTGAAGAGTTGAAAGTCTTTCCTGTAAGATCAGGAACAAGACAAGGATGCCCACTCTTGCCACTTCTATTCCACATAGTACTAGAAGCCCCAGCCAGAACAATTAGGCAAGAAAAATAAATAAAAGGGATCTAAATCAGAAAGGAAGACATTAAATTGTCTCTGTTTGTAGATGACATAATCTTATATACAGAAAATTTTAATGATTCCACCAAAAAACTGTTAGAACTTATAAACGATTTCAGTAAAGTTGCAGGATACAAAATCAACATACAAAAATCAGTAGCGTTTCTATACACTATTAAGGCACTATCTGAAAAAGAAATCAAGATAACAATCCCATTTACAATATCACTGAAAATACAATAAAATACTTAAGAATGAGTTTAACCAAAGAGGTGAAATATCTGTACACTGAAAACTATAGAATAGTGATAAAACAAATTGAAGAAGATACCAATAAATGGAAAGATATCCTGTGTTTGTGAATTGGAAGAATTAATAGTTAAAATGTCCATACTACCCAAAGCGAACTACAGATTCAATGCAATCCCTACCAAAATTCCAGTGACATTTTTCACAGAAATAGAAAAAAACAACCCTAAAATTCATATGGAACCACAAAGGACCCCAAATAGAGCAATTTGGAGCAAAAAGAACAGAGCTGGAAGCACTAAAAAGCTTATGCCCAGCAAGGAAACAATCAACAGAGTGAAGAAACAGTCTATGGAATGCGAGAAAATATTTGTGAACCATACATCTGATAAGGAGCTAATATCCAAAATATATAAACTAAGACAATTCAATAGGAAGAAAAAAAAAACCAGATTAGAAAATGGGCAAAGACCTGAATAGACGTTTCTCAAAAGAAGACATATAAATGGCCCACAGGTACATGAAAAAATGCTCAACTTCACTAATATTGGGGAAATGCAAATTAAAATCACTATGAGATATCACCTCACATCTGTTAGGATGGCTATTATCAAAAAGTCAAAAGTGTTGGCAAGGATGTGCAGAAAAGGGAGCCCTTGGACACTGTTGGTAGAAATGTAAGTTGGAACAGCCATTATGGAATACACTACTTTTTAATACTCAGTGCAGAGGCCAAACTAAATGGTTGTGTAGAACATGGCAAGCAAGGATGTGCAGAAAAGGGAGCCCTTGGACACTGTTGGTAGAAATGTAAGTTGGAACAGCCATTATGAAATACACTACTTTTTAATACTCAGTGCAGAGGCCAAACTAAATGGTTGTGTAGAACATGGCAGTGGCCTCTAATTTGGGCCTCCAGTCTGTGATTCCTAAAGAAAAAGGAAAAGTTGTCGGCTAGGCCCCTGAAATCAGAGTGCCCAAGTTCAAATCCCCATTCTAACACTTACTGTGTGGCCTTGAGAAAGTTGAACAACATCTCTGAGCCTCTGTTTACTCATCTTCAAAATAGTCTAATAATATGACTTAACCTAAAATAAATTAATATGACATCTTAAAAGGATCTTGTGAGCATGAAATTGGATAATCCATATAAAGCATTTAGTGGAGTATCTGACACGTGTTCAGTGTCAGTTACTATTACTATTAGTTATTAATGATGTGTAGCTAATTAGGGGCTAGGCTGTCTCCCCGTGTTCCCCTGCTTTGAGGGAACACCACCTCTGGTAGTGCTTCAGGGCCTTAAGATTGCCCTTGGGCCCTACAGGATGGCCAAGTGGCTGTGTGGTGATCAGAAGCCTTGAGCTCTGCTTGGTGGCATCCTCTGCCCTCCTCCTCCTCCTCTTGGTTTGATCATGAGTTGCAGCCAAGCATTACCACAGCTTCCTTCTTCATCCTTCTACTCCGTGGACAAGACCTTCTTCATCTCCTGCATGGAGAAGGCTGGCCACTTTCACCTTCAAGTACTGCAGCTCGTTCACATCTCACATGCATGAGGAAGATCCACATTTTCATATCCCAGAGACTGGGGAACAGCTTAGTGAGCAAGTATCTCGTGTAATTGTGACAAGAGTCTACACCCCATTAAAGCAGTCTCTGACATTAGGACATCAGGATTGATTTGCTTCAGTTCTGATCCCCTGTGGACCATGCCAGTATCTGAACCCCTTCCCAGGATGGGGAATCTGCAGGTGGAGGCAGGGCCCAGCCTACCTCTTCAAAAGCCCAGAAGTCCAAATACTTGCTCTCCCTGCCCCAAGCTTGGCCAATCAGTGCTTCGTTTTGAATCAAGAGCAAATGATGCAAAAAGACAGGAACAGTTGATTTATTCTGCCAGTGACTGCAGCAGTGGCATGTGCAGTGTCCACTGGCAGTGTCCATTGTCCAGCTGGGGGCAATAGCCCCCTGGGCAGGCATTTCTGTGGTGTGGTCTTATCTGTGGCTTCAATCTCCTGACTTCCCTTAGATTCTGCACATTTTACGGGCTTGGTTCTCCAGATATTTTGTAATTATTGAGGGGCTTAAAACATTTTCAACAAATCCCTTTTCTTCTCAAACTAACCATTGTTGATTTCTGTTGCTTGCAACCAGGAGTCTTCAGTGATACTGATTGCACAAATAGGATATAGGAACACATGTCTTTCTATTTGGTGAAGAGAGTGAAGGGAGTGGAGAGGGGCGATGGTGAAAGAGAAAAAGTTGGTAAACAAACTTTCATTTGGCAAACTAGAGGTTTTATTTTTCTTTTGCTCCTTACTAAAAAAAACTCAGTTACAATAAAATACCCAGTATAGCAGAGTGCTGAACAGCATTCAGACAGACCTGGGTTTAAATCTCATTAAATTACTGATTAGCAGTACAAATAGTTAAGTTATGGGCTGAATTTAAGCCTCACTTTTTCTGTCTGTAAAATGTGAGTCATTACACTTGTCATGCTTGTGGCCACCCAGCATCCTTGGAACGAACACTTCCCATGTTGAAGAAGTGTTCACATTATGATTCTGCCTTTCTGAAGTAGAATCCAAAATCTGCTTTCCTGGCCTCCCTTGTAGCTGGGACTCTACATGTGCTCTAGGCTCTGCTGATCAGATATACCCACCTGTGACTTTGATTTGGAAGTGAGCAATGTGAGGAAGCAGGGACTGTGCAGAGTCCACCTGTAGACAAAGGTGTTGTCTGAGGTGTCAGACATGACCAAAGCAGCAGTGGCAAAGCTCTGGTCTCCAGTCTCAGCAGCATTAGCGTGATTGTTTCGTTCTTGGCTGGGAGTGGCAGCACACATGTCTTTCCTGGAGCAGATCACCAGGTGTGATGGGGGCATAGTTCATGTTAGCACAGCCTCGAAGCTTGATCTCTGGCCCTCCCAGAAAGCCTGTGAGCTGCTTTTCTAATTAAACTAGCTTGAGTGGATTCTGTTGTTTGCAACTAAGAACACAGTGACACAGAAGGTTCGGTAATAGAATGTTTGTCAAGAATTTAGCACTAGCCAGACAGCATGCTCGAAGAATGATGACCAGATTTTACAATATATTATCAACTGCAAGGGAGGAAATTGGGTTTCTCTGGGAGATGCCTGAGTAAGTTTTGATTTCAGAGAAAGCAGAGCATGTTAAAGCTGGAAGGGGTCATTTAATTCAACTCTTGCATTTTACCAGTGAGTCCATAAGGTGCGGTGACATGTCCAAGGCCATGTACTTGGTTGGTATAGAGCTGAAACCAGAACCCAGGTGTATGAAGCCATTTTCTATCCCACCAGTCTGCTATTTGGGAATTGGTGTCTATCTAGTATGCAAAAGTAAATTACTATAATTTTCTAAAGAGTTTGATCTTCTGGGGAAAGGAGGCAAGCCCTCATGACATGGCAGGAGAATCAGACTCAACTAAA